ATCAGGGAAGAATAAATGACGTTGTCCTGCCCTGAAAATAATGTTGTGTTTTCAGTCTGTTGATCATGGCTCCCCCCCCAAAAAAATGCCTCCCTCCCAAAGCCATCTGGTTAATTTTTCGTAGTAACTCGATTGTGTGAAAAATGTTTGACCTGGGAAAGCATCTTTGGCAAAAACGTCAGCAGCCTAGGGCTAAATTTTTGACAGGTCTTTGGAAGCACTTGCCATTATTTTAAATGTCACTTTGTCAAAATGTGGAAGAACGGTCTGTCATTTTTTTAAATGGGTCAGTTCTATTCGAAAAGACATTCTGGAGACAGGTATATGTCTTTGTACTACAAATAAAATCTTGAATGTGAAACCAGGTCTTAATTCTAATTTGTTACGTTGCAAAGATGATTTGTTACTGCTGCCTGTTTGACATCAGTAAGGGCATAATATTTTTCAGAGAGAAGTCGATTCCCCCCATTGCATATAAACTTTCCATTTTTCAAATAGATACAAAACATGCATTGCCTCTATTTCTGATTGTTGTATCTGCCTTCTTCCCTGTTAATCCACTACTTTGTATGTTGCAACAATGGTTTTGTAAGGCACTAAGATATTTAAAAATGGCAAGCATGTTAATCCAGGGGAGGAAAGTACAGTTTTGAACAGGGCTGTGGAGTCGGTAGATAAATGTTCCGACTCCGACTCCTCAGTTTTTTGTACTTCCGACTCCGACTCTGACTCCAGGTACCCAAAATTGACTCCGACTCCGACTCCACAGCACTGGTTTTGAAGAACACCCAGTGGATGCCTGCACGGAGCAGGGTTTGAGCCTCAGTGACCTCTTCCAACTCTAGAATTCAATGATAAACTATAATACGATTTCTTTGTTTTTGGCTTTCTGTGTTTTTTTTATGAAAGCAGTGATCATTATTTATAAATTGCAGTATTTTTTGGAAACATGCCATTGTAGTTTGCCAAACGATAGTTGAAACAAACAGTCACATCAAATGATGTGAAATAGAATTATTTGTTGGCTTGTCTTGTCTTCATGCTGCAATTCATTAGCTGTGTATCAGAGAGCTGGTTCAGCAGCTCAGCAACTTCTTCAAAGCCATAACAATGCAAATTGTAAAGATTGTCAATGTGTGGTCCTACTTTTATAGTACGTGTTGGAAAACCAGACCATGGAGTTTATTTTTAACAACGAAAACTGGGTTAAAATTTTATAAATATATACATGGTTATTTTTTATTTTAGTCTAATTTAATTGTGTAATTATGGTATTTCTTTTAAGCACAAGTAAAAGGCTTGGAATGAACATAATACCAAGGTTGTCCCAAGAAATTTCATTGAACAGATTAGATTTGAAAAATAGTGGTACAAGCAGTGAACCTTTTGTGAGCTGTTAGGCTAAAATGTGACTGATATCCTTTGCCTTTCAGATTGTAAATGGCTTACAGTCAACTGTAGATTACTGTTTGTTTCAAGAATATTTTGTCTTCCTAAAACAGAACATGTAAGGGGCTCCTATGCAGCCATAGGAGGAAAGTGTCCTCCTGTTGTTGATTCCCAGTGTCTAGTTCAAGACTTGGAGATATGTTGTGCCTCTTTTCATCTGAAGAATATATTACATATCTAATCCATTTTGCAAGGCAGGAATTGGGTAAAGAAGTGATTTGTGGCTTCCTCTGAATCAGCTGCCAGTCAATTTTGCCAATGTCTTGAGATTCTTTCGCTCTTTTCCATATTATGATAGTATTGAACCAAAAGGCAAGATGATGACTCCCACTCTATTGTATGTATGTTGTGAGCCACTGTGAGGTCAGTAGGAGCTAGCAATATGTTGATTTATTATCTCCTACCACATTTAAAATGACTTGTGTCAGTTAAAGATACAGTTGTAAACAATACAGTTAAAATCCAAGGCAGAATCTAAATCGGTGGTAAAATAGCTCCATGTAAAGCTTGATGTACTCAAGCCAGGTTGTAACCAAAATATGGACTAACAGTTGCTACTTTTGACTAGTTAAAGAAGAATTGTTTGGGCGCATTAGTTGTGCCTTGAAAATGTGTTCTCACTTGCAAATCCAGGATCACTTGAAGGGTCAAGCAGCATTCCAAATTACAGTTCTGCCCTTTCAGGAGGAGTGCAGCACGTCTCTCTTGAATCTCCACATCTGTTTTTTTCCTTACTACTAGCACCTCTGCCCTGTCTGGATTTAATTGCAGCTTGTTCTCCCTCAGCATGCTTATTGTTGAATTTAAGTCATGTTCAGGACTGCTAACTACCAAGAGAACTTCTAGTTTGTGGCATAGGATTCACCAGGATTACCAAAACAGTCCCAGTACCATAACCTGAGTGAAGCTCCCATTGAAATCTCCAGACAATTAGTTTCATTCAGATGCTTCTGAAGCTATGAGGCCACCAGCCTCTTAACTGCTTCACCCAGGAACAGGAAGTCATTAACGGTCCAGGATATTGCTGCCTCTTTTGAGTAAGCGGGAACGCAGGTATCACCTAAGGATGCCACAGTCGCCTACAACCATGGGGAACAGTCCTGGACCGATCAGTTGGATCAACCGGAAGAGTCGATGGACGCATGCTTAGTCTGTCTCCTTGAAAGCTGAAAAGAATCACTGTTAACATGGGGAAAGTTTCCAAGGCTTCCCCAAAGATGCGTTTTCAAGAGGCAACTGGACGTTCTTGGTTTTTCCTTGCAGACATTTCGCTTCTCATCCAAGAAACCTCTTCAGTTCTGAGAAGCGAAATGTCTTGAAGGAAAAACAAAGAAAGTGCAGTTGCCTTTTGAAAAAGCACCTTTTGGACAACTATGACCTGAGAATCTCCAGAGACAGGGCTTCCTTAGGACTTGTCCCATCGCTGGAAGTTGAATCGAAGAACATTGGATTGGCCTTCCCTGCCCAAAAAAATTTGGGAAAATTGCTTCCGGTGGGCTGCTCATTCTTCTGCCGCACTTTTCCCCGGATGGAGGGAGTGCCTCACCCTGGAAGAGGATTGCCAGCCTATGCAGATGCAACAGAGGCAGAGAGGGAAGTTCTCTCTGCTCCATGGGCTTCAATGGAATATGGCTGCATGACGGTATGAAGGGTTCATTTCTTAGGATTCCACTCCGCAAGCTGATCTGTCTTGATATTTCCTCCACTTGCAGCTACGTTTGATGGAAAATGGAAAACAAATGTATAAAATGAAGTATTAGCCACCTAAGGTTTTTAAGGCAGTTTCTTGTTCAGGCTTAAAATATTCCAACAATCAAAGGAAGGAGCAAAACCACACTGGGCCAAAGAATGAGAAACAGCATGGCAGAAATAAACAGTATTCAACCATATAATCCAGAATGTAGGCAGAATATCTATCCAAATGGAATTTATTTGAAATATTTCTAGCTTGTCTTGAAGAAGAAAAACTACTACCTCCTGCACAAAGCAAATTAGAAAAATAAAACTGCGACAGTTGGTCTTAAGAGTCCATTTTGTTTCTTCTTCTAAGGAGACTTCCTACCTACCTCTACACCACCATCTGTGAAAGCAACAGCTTCACGTCATCACTAAAATGTCCTGATATGAGGGAGTAGATTTTTGAAAGGGTCAGTCAAGGGTCCACTTGATTTTTTTATGCTTCAAGCCCCCAAATAGACAGAAAACTAATGTCGATTTCAATTAAATGTGAAATTCATTGCAATTAGTAGGGCTATTTTCTATCATACAATAGTCCCCACTTTTCTTTCACATTAAGGATGAGGTCTGGTGACAACTCTTAACAGGGTGCCAAGAAACCTCATGGCTTTTGAGGGTTTCAAGTTGCTCAGCTACAGCCTCTTGCAACTGTTAACTCGTTGAGTAACCAGATTCTTCCACTGAACGTCAGAGCTGGATGTGTAGTATTCACCCAATGGGAAAGTTATATTTATAATGCATTAAAACTGGCTGTAGACAAAGGAGAATATTTAAACATTTTAAACTTTTGTTTTCCTATTCTTAAAAAAAACCCAACCCTAATGGTACATTTTATGTTATTGAATTCCGCTGAACCAATATCTCATTTTCACTTATCAATATTAACACTGGCATAAATAAGTATATGCAAAAGAAGAAAAATAGTCAATTAAACCCTTTCCAATATACAGAAGTATATACATATACTACATTTTTCCTCACTTGTTGATTTTGGAAATTGCACAACTTGGAGAAAATTCTTCAAACTGGTTTTCTTTTCTTAAAGTCACCTTAAAAATAAGAAAGTTAAACATTTTCTAAATAAGTATATACAGCTGAGGATTGAAGATTTGCATTAAGGTGCTTATAATTATGGGTATTTGTTCAGTGCATATAAAAAGATCTCCACAAAAAAGCTGGTGGGTTGTTGGCTGGATCCTCTTTGTGAGCACTTCTGTGCTCCTGGCTTTGAGAAGGAACAAGATTCTGTGCGCAGAAGCAGCATCCAGTACATTGTATCATCGGCCTGGGCCTTCCAAACCCATCAGGCGCCTGGTTTTACCGCTACCCTTGCAAATATAATCTGGTAACGTGATTACTGATCACCTCTACCCATTTTCTTTGCTCTTCAGATACCTGCTACTTATGCCCCTCCGCAAATTAATCTCCACTTAGTTCTAGTGATCCCAGTTTGTGCTCAGAAGGTGTGCAGATCTCATTTGAAACATCAACTTTTGTCCAGCAAGATTTGTAAGTCTCTTAAGTAATCCGGAATAAAACATTTTATTATAGCAACTTGATTTGTTTTTAGGGAAGTGCACTGCAGATGCCTGACCGGTTTGTGCTTGACAGCTTGAATGAAGGAAAGTGAAAGCTCAAGTATTTGTGTGAATCTAGACTTTCCACTCCTTTTTATTTCAGGAGCAAAGTTTCCCCAATGGAAGTGCAGACTGAAAAGCGCATCATCCCAAACAATCTTGCGCGTGCAGTAAAGGATTGGAGTCTTCTGGCATCTTTTCCCTCAGTCTTGTGGCCAAAGTAGATCATTTTAAAGAGAAAGCTGCTTCTTGTGGATCTACTCTCTCCCTGTCCTTATTGTATAGTTCCAGTGTCTTAGGCAGAAGGAAACAAAACCAGTTTGAAGTCCCTGCTGGTGGAGGCCTCTCCTTTGCAGGGTGACACTTAGCAGCTGGGTGGCTTTCAGGTAACTGGGAAACTGGTCAATGCAAAAGGAAGCTGGCTATACGGCAAAGTAAACTTGTTTGTGAGAAAAAAGACCAGCTGATATGCTCAGGACAATGGAAGCCTTAGTCCAAATCTTTGGTAGTCTGATCCTGGCTTGCATCTCTCTTGTGGGTAGCGCTTTGAAAAAAACCAAGCTAAAGAGATATAAGACAAACCAGAAAATCCTCTGTAAATTTAATGCATTGACTGAATTTGCCAACTCTGAAACGACTGAGACTGCTTTTTTCAATTGTTTAACAAACAAATCATTGACTGAAGGGCAGAAAATTTAACTGTAATTTACCTATTAAGACATATAGGCTATGTTAATACTTTTCACTTTTGCTTAAAAAATAGCATGAAGAATTTAAAACATTTAAAGATTAAGAAATAAGAAAAAAAAGCAAAAAACATCATCTGATTTTTTACCAGGTATACTATATATAAAACCTCCATCAAGGGGAAAAAAACCAACCATAATTATAGAAAGACCATAAGCAAGAACTGCTTTTGCTTTTTGTGCTGTTTAGAATGAGGGAGAAATTAGTTTACAAAGATCTTCATATTAGGGGTCAAAAAAGTCAAGATGGCAACTTTGTGACTCATACACAAATTCAGGGTTTTGCATGGTTGCAGTTGCCCTCGTGGCTTTCTGAGAATCGCAGGGCTGAAAGGAATCTTGGAGGTTTTCCTCCAAGTCTCTGCGGAGGACAGAATCCCGAGACCGTCCCAAACAAATGGCTATTCGACCTTTGTGGAAAAGCTTTCGTACGCAGCACCCAGGCTTCCAGGAGGGAAGCTGCTGAAGGGTTCTCCCTTTGAGTTGGTCTCTCTCTTTATAGAGCTTCCACCCATTGGTCTTCGTCCTGCCTTTGGGTGCTACGGAAAACAAATCTATTCTTCCTTTTCTGTGACAGCTGTTAAAAGATTGGAAGACTGCTATTCTGCCTCCCGCCGCCTTCTCTGCTTTAGGCTAAAATATCCAGGTCCTTTAAAAAGTTTTCATGGGATTTAGTCTCCAAATTTCTCACCCTCTTTGTTGCTCTTCTCTGCAGTCTGATTCCTCAGCAACTGGCCATAGTGTTTCTCGTGAGGTCAGGCCAGCCCAGCATAGACTGCTACTATCACTTCCTCTGATGTCATTACCCTGTTGATGCAACCCAACACTGCCATACAGGGAGTCCTCAACTTACGACCACAATTGAGCCCAAACTTCCTTCTGCTGAGACATTTGTTAAGTGAGTTTTGACCTGTTTTATAACATTTCTTGCCATAGTTGTTAAGTGAGTCACTGCAGTTAAGTTAATAACAAGGTTGTTAAATCATGAATCTGGCTTCCACATTGACTTGGCTTGTCAGGAGGTGGAAAAGGGGGTCACGTGAGCCCGGGGCACGGCGACCACCATAACTATGGGTCAGTTGCCAAGCGTTTGAATTTTGATCCTGTGGCTGTGCCATGCCACGATGGTCGTAAAATTGAAATTGAAAAATGGCCATGAGTCACTTGTTGCAGTGCTGTTGTAACTTTGAACGGTCACTACGTGAACTGTTGTAAGTCGGGGACTGCCTGTTCTTCCCTGGTTATTCCTACCTAAGAAAAGAACCAGCTAGTTTTTTGCTACAATGAAAAATTTGTGTTTATGAGTTAACTGGTAATATAGATTAATGCACAAAAATAGAAACCTGATCTGTGTTGTCATGAAAAGAATTTTCAGAAAAATTTCTACTTAAGAGATGTGAAATTGCCATCTGACTGTATTGCTAAGGGTGTCCGGTATAACTTAACGCATGTAATGCCAAGATAACTGCATGTGGGCAAGGGGAATCCAGCGTTACAAAATGCATGATGGTTTTGAGTTCTTTTGGGCTCCACTGCTCTTCACTGTGGTTGCATGGAAAATTTTGGCCCCAAGTGGGCAGCTTGCCTAAAGTGGCAGAAGTGCTCCTGATGATGAGCTAATAATCCTAATGCATCCATGCCTACCCTGTGTGGCTGCAGGTAGGCTTACCTTCCAGAGGGCCAGCACTAGCAATGCCAGCAGCAGGAAACCACCTAACGTGCTCCCAATTATAATCCAGATGGGGATGTGGGACTCCTCGACCTTGGAGATCTCAAATGCAATCTACAAGGGGAAAAAGAATAGCGAGACGTCACATGGAACTCTTCCAGTGTCAACTGTTTTGGAAGGCGCAGGAGGTCAAATAGGATTTGCAGGGAGTTCTATCTAGAAGGTGAGTTCTCATATGGTGAGACTGCAGAAACAAGGCAGCTTCTTTTGTTGGTGGCTGCTGAGCCACAACTGCTCAGAAGAGGGTGCTCCTGCTCCATCTGAGGTTTGTAAACAATGAAGAAGTATTTCAGTGCTGCAATGGAAATAGGTAACTGTTCCAGCGATTTCGGTCTACAAAGACCTGGAAAAATTAGGGTTTATTAACTTCTTGGAAGGTCACGAGAGACGGAATAACTTTTGTGTCAGGGGCAAACTGCCTTAGTGCCTATTTCTGTGCTTCTTCCCACTTCAGCAGGCATTCTATTCTCCCAGTTTTGGCAAGCAAAATATACTGGAATAGGTGGTCTCTAAGATACCTAAGCCCCAAATAAACAAGTTGGAGGGCAAGACTAGGTCCTCAGTCACCCATACTGGAATTCCCATGGGTTTGTTCTTTCTGCTGAAACCACTGACCCAGACTTGCCCATTCAGGAAGGAGTGAAACAACCACAAATGATGTCTCTTACTTCCAACCCTCACAGGAGGACAAGAAGGACCTTGGCTGACAATACCAAAGGCCACTGAAAGATCCAGCAGCACAAGGATAGCTGTACTCCCGCCTTCCCTCCATGTTCCACCATAACTCATCAGTCAGAGCCAGAATTGCAGACTGCATCCTTCTTTAGGCCTAAATCCTAAGTGCCAAGGATCCAGACAATCTACTCCTTCCAGAGCCTCTGTAGTTGTGTGAGGGGATATCAGGAGAATGTGGAAAGTTACAAAAATAGTATTTCAGTCCTGGGGCAGTAGAAAGCAGAAATTGAAAAAGAAATTCAGACAACTCCATCTTGATTGAGTTAGGTATAGGTTGAAGGCTGTGTGAGATAGACTTTCAAGATTTTAATCCAATATTAAATACTTCATTAAACTACTTAGCAAGACTACCAGCAACTCGTGCTTTCTGATTTTATCTTGGAGGACTGACAACTTGCTGCTCAATGTTCTTCCCAAAAGAAAAGTTGGATATAAATTGGTAATTGCTGGATTGTCTTTTAAGATTGTTGGTACATCTCCCTTCCTCAATAATGCATTACTCAAATCCAGTCCTTGTCCCTTCTTGATCCCTTGGAAGGAATAGGAATCAAGGTCACAAGTGGTGGAACTTATGCCCAAAAGAACTTTGCTTCCTCAAGATCCTAAAGCTCAGTTAAGGTTGCTAGATATCTCTTGCTGATCCAGCTTTCAGCTTGAAACAAGTATGAATGACTTAATCTATGAGATTACTGGCCAGATGTTTACACACTACTGTTACTGGATGTTCCAATCTACCATTACCTAACAGGGCCTGGGTTGTTATGAATAATGAAGCTGGCTGACAGCCCCCTGCAGATGTCATAAGGGTGGAGTTGCGCTTCAACGCCCTTATCACTAGAGAGTAGACTTGAATTCATATGCCTCAGATTCAACCTCATTTCCCACCAGCATCACTCTGGGTATCTCTGTTTGCTTCATTTTCAACTCCTCAGAAAAGCAAAGATCCCCTGAGATCAATGGAGGAGTAAAGGTTACTCAGGCAATCCTATCAAACATCCAGGTCACTTCCACTGGCCAGAGATTGTTTGGAAATTTCCAGATTGTTTGGAAATTTCTAAAGTGATAATCAGAAACCCTCCAGTTCTATCTGGTGCCTGCAGATACCATCTTAATCAGCCACCAGCCTTTCTGAGTGGCTCGATAGCTCTGGTTAAATCCATCATCAAGAATAAGTGCCTGGTCCACGGAAAGGTCATTCCCAAACAATATCACATCTCTTCTGTTTTGGGGAAAGGTGTTGCAGTTTTGATCAGGCCAGTGATGATCTGGGAGAAGCCCATGATTGTCATGATGGCCATTAATATCTAAACTGCCTCCGACACCAGAAAGGGAGATTAAAACATATGCAATACAAAGTCCCACTTTGTTTCTGTACATTCACTAGTTTAGCAATCTTTCAAAATTTAAAAAATGTAATTTCCTTCAAAACCACTATTTTCCCTCAAATAATTCTTATTACTAAAATGAGATGCTCCTCAACATTAGAACACAGTTTGGCTGGCAACACATGGTCCTCCAGAGGTTTTGAACTTCCACACCAATGACACATAGACATTACTGTGGAAGATAAAGTTCAAACCACACCCACGGGGGATATGCAGCTGACGAATGGCTGAAATATTCATCAGTTTTATTCTACTTCTTCATGCAGATTGTAATAATACTGCAATCCCTGCCATACTTTATGAAGTTTATATCCAGCTTTTTGGGAATCAGATCTTTTCAAAAAAGTTTACAAAGTAACACTGTTATTCCACTTTAATTTTCTTTCTCATTAATAATGACAAGATTGTTATTATTAATAATAGAAAGACTTATAAGTCTCACTTTGTTAAGGAATTCCTTGGCTGCTGTTACTAATGCCAGAATGACAGCTGAAGCTAACTTTCTCCAAAGGGAATGAAGTTAGAACTGAAGGCATATTAAAAGCTACATCTTCAATAGCAAGATGAGTTATGAGTTAGAGAAGAGATGGCCAGTGGAGAGAGGAGTATGTAGACTGGTCAGGCGTGTCCACAAGAGGGTCGAATAATCCAGCCACAATCCTGTTGTCAAAGTCCCACCCCTTTTGTATACATATTGTGGCACATGTAAAAAAGAGGCAGGTTTTTGATTGCATGGTTTTGGCTGCGGTCTTGACTTTTTTGTCTCTTCCTCTCTGGGTGGCTTGGAAAGACATACTGTATTTTTTAAACCATTAGTGGCAATCTAAGGTCAGGATCAGAAGAAATGTGAAAGCTACAGAGCCCACAGTTCCTATCATTACAAAGTTGAGCTCCAGCTTCCATTAGCATCTTACTATGGCCTCCAAAGAGTCAAGCTGACTGGTGCGTGAGCAGGTGAGAAGAGGACCGTGATCTTCGGGCTTACCTGGCGACTAGGATCCTCTTCTCTGAAGACAAAGGCACTACGAAACCCTCTCTGCAAGGCAGCATTGAAGATGAATCTCAAGGTCTTGAATTTCAGCTGGACAGATATGAGAGAATCAGTGGCTCAGTTCACACATAATGCTAAGCCGTGCTTGATTTTAACTATAGCTGGTGGAAGAAACTATAAATATTAAGTTCACACAATATACAAAACACTGTTTAGAGCCATGTATGGACATGTCCTAGTACGGACAGAGGTCACCTAGTTTAGTCAGAATTGATTTGCTGTAATTAATTATTGCCTACAGAGGTTAGAATGCTCTCTTGGATCAACGCATTGACACATTCGGAAGAATTCTGTCTCCTGACACAGGAGGACGGCACAAAATAGCCTGTCTTCTCTTCATAATGCCTTCCTAGTCTCTCAATGTGGTTTGATGTGCCCTTGGTTATAGAGGGACTGTTGCTTGGCAGGTGGGAAAAGTCAGGGGTATGGGGTATCTTGCGATTGGGGGAATACACGAAGTCTGCGAAATGGGACATAACTGGTGAGACTTTTCAGTTCCATGAAGGATTCCAGCTACTTTCTTGCCAATTTCAATACTGCTTCCATTTTTACTCTAATAGTTAATTTTTTTAGCGGTAGAGAATCACACACTTCTTTCTTTGAAATATAATCTCATTTTAAATTTCCTTGATGTTATGTTCATCTTAAATCCCAGCTGCTCCTGGTTGGACCAAATTCTCTCTCTGCAGTAGCCTGCAACTAATGTGAACTCTAGAAGCTCTTGTTCCCCAGCTGGACTAAGAATGCTTGCTTCGGGATAACTATTATTACCACTGAAAGACAAGTTAGTGCGGAAGGTAAAAATCTGACCATCACGGCCTGGAAGAGCAGGACCTAATGCCAATTACTTGTGTTGGCTGCTAGCAAAGATGGCAATTTGCATCTTGTCCATACCACTCTTAGGGTCCTCATCCACAAATTTCCATATAAGAGAAAGCTGACTTCTTCATTGGCAGCCAGATTCACACTGCAGTCGATTGAAATCACATCAGAATTACTGTAATTCTGGAACAAAAAGACAAGTGAGGTTTGGTGGAATGCAAGACATTGAGCCATTTCCCCCCTTTAACCCGGAAGTTCTTTGACTGATGGAATTTCCTTCAAAATGGCTGCATGAACTTGTTTTGAGCATCTATCTGAGGCCACCTACACGAGGCTGCTGGGTGAGGTCATCTGACAATTTGTTGTGCAGCCTGACACAGCACCGTTGTGCTCAGGAAGTGGCCAAAGAACTTTCACCACGATGCTGTGATACTGAAAGGACTCACCAGCTGGGGATGACGGCCTAAATCCTCATCCGAGGGTGTCCTTCGATAGTCTGTGTCATTGCCTCCAATATTGCACATCATACCATTCTATAACAGAGAGAGGGTCTGGAATCATTAATCAAATAAACAGATGCTCTCGTTTATTTTGAGGTCTGGACCAACTCCATGACTTTAAGGAGGCAGACATGCCATCCATAATCACTCACAAAAAATGCGATTACACGCTTTACCATCCACTGTTAAATACTCCTTTGACCACGAAAGCTCTTGGGTCTCTTCTCTTGGGGTCTTTCATCTGCCCATCTTGTACAAAGGGCCTCTTTTAGTTTCAAATAGCAATTGGGAGGAGAAAAGTCAAGAAAACCTAACTCACGAAAAGGTGAGCCATTAGACAGTTTTCTTTAATATTTCATTGCTTCCTTCTAGTGCCTGTTTGAATCTTGTCTGACAGCTCCTGGAATTATAGCCTTCCACATTGCATGTTTCATTGTTTTTCTTTATTTTTTCCCTCAATTTTCAGATCATTATTGATTTTTGAAGTAGTTCCCATCACTTTGGGGAAGAACTGTTCCAAATTGTTCCAAAACACAAAACAAGAAAAACTGTCTTTACATTACAAGGAAGATTTTGAATTTCCAAATTGATAAGATTTTGTTCAACAATAGAAAAATAGGCACAATTACCCAGAACAGAGAAGCTAGAAACAAGGCCAACAGCAAAGCACATCCACCAACCAAAAAGAGGGATTTTCAAGCAACAAACTCATGGAACAAATGACTGACACTATTGTGGTATGGAATACATGTTCCATGTATGCGCTCATGCCCAAAGAACACCCAAACTATACATGCATTAGATGCAAATTATGTGAACTACTACAGGAAAAGGTTAGGAACTTAGAGGCAACTCTAGCCAAACCCCAATGTAAGAAAGAAAGCTCCACCCAAACCGAACCAAATAATGAACAAATAACTCCCAGAGGATTTGACCCTACTGATAAACCCTTGGAGGAGGAAGACAAATGGAGGTATGTCACACACAGAAGGAAACACAATACTTAAAGAAAGAAGCAGCATACAACTACCGGTAACAAACCCCTTCTGCCCAATCCTACCCAACCAGAAGCAGCCCCATTAAAACTGAGCAATCAATTTCTCCCCTTAGATGGAAACATGCAGACCCACAACCTCCCCCTCAAAGAAAACATGCGGACACCTAGCAAAGAAACAACTACAAATATCCCTAAAAAAGCCACATCAACAAACACACCTGAGATAAACAGAAAAGCAACCCAGACTGCAGCCCCCCAAAAGAAAGGAGAGTGTTGGTAATAGGAGACTCTATCCTCAAAGCAACAGAATCATCCATCTGCACACCAGACATACAATCCAGGGAGGTATGTTGTCTCCCTGGAGCAAAAATCAGAGATGTGGCTGAGAACCTAACCAAAATAATTAGGCCTACAGATTACTACCCCTTCCTTCTCCTTCACATTGGGACGAACGACACAACAAACAACCTGAGTACAATAGTGAGGGATTACAAACAACTAGGCAATAAAGTTAAGAAGCTAGGAGTGCAAGTAGTGTTCTCATCAGTACTCCCAACGAAAGGCCAACACCCATCGAGGAGAAAAAAGAATTCTAGAAATAAACCACTGATTACTTAATTAACTTAATGTTTGAATGTGTTTACTACATGGAATGATAAAATGAACCATCATACTAAATATACACAAAAAACTAAACTGAACCACAAAACTTTAGCAGGAGGGCAGCCTATTACTAAGGAGACAAGGACATGTGTCCACCTGAGAAGAAAAATTGTCATCTTCATTCATTAGCTAGGTAGATGATGTGCTTTCTCTTGAGGTGTCTGATTGATCATTCAAGCTTATATCTTGAGGTTTTCTAATACCAAAATAATAAGTAGGAACTGTGGATACCTCTGGTCCATGGAAGCCTGTTAGCTGCAGAAGGCGATTCCCTCCTCGTGTGGCCACTGGGACTGTGATTTTGATAACTATCCCATCTACAGGGAAGAGGCCCAGATTTTGTAGCTGAAGGGAAAAAAAGTAGCATGTGACCCTCTTCTGCAAGAAGCCATCTCCCATTCCCAATATATTGCTTAGAACAAAAAATGAATTTACCTTAAAAGTGCAATTAAATGGTGGGCCGATTCTATCGTATGTCTGTAGAGAATTGTTGGGTTCGATCTCATAATAGTTCTGGCTGGAACCCCTGAAGAGCAGCAAAAAAACCGAGAACCCAATCAAAATAAAAACTGTTCCCACTGTTCAGAAGGTCTGAACACGCAGAACACATCATCATTTTCAGAATGATGAATTATGGCAATGCAAAACTCACTCAGTACATATCCAGAATACCTGGTGAAAAGGAGATCAGTTTCATATTTCAGCTGAAACTTGAGGAGAGCAGAATTGTCCTCTTTCGTGCTTTCTTGTTCTTCACTGTCACTAGAATGTAAAAATGGAACCAGAGATCCATTTAGGGGCCATCCCATAAAAAGGTACAACGTTGATTGGCCATAAAGTGATAGCTACATCTCTTAGGGAAAACACTGACTTCTTACAGCAGCGGCCCCCAACCTTTTGAGTACCAGGGACCAGTTCCACGGAGAGAGGTTTTTCCGTGGACTGGGTGGGAGCGTAGTTTTGTGTGCTGCCTGCATCCCACGGATGGAGCTTCGCTTGTTTCTGGCATGCTGCAGACCAGTGCTGGTCCACGGACCGGGGGTTGGGGATCCCTGCCTTACTGGGGATCTCGCTGACTTTTACTATGAGCTGTTAGACTCACAGACAGACACCCATCAACCCATTCAGCTCAGTTTTTCCTTTGTGCACTTAATGCATATATTTGCTCTGGTCTCCTTCTCTAGGGTAGCAATTTCTGTCAATTGAAGTCTTGGTGATTTTGGCAGGAGACAGAGTATTCCTTTGCCAATGCTCTACTGGCTTAATAGGCGCATTACAGACATGTCAAAGCTGATCTTTGCTTCATATGAGTCAACATTCCTAGCTGAAGCAGGGAGAAAAATGTGTTTTTTTCCACCACTGGCTGGAATTATGGATTTGATACTATCCTGGGATCTTTTCCATCTCTGCAATTTGCTTGACTTGCTATTTTTTCAGCAAATGCAGCTAGGGAGTTGCAACTTCAACACACCAACTTTTCTTCTTATTAGGAAAGAGAGACAAATTTAGAAGTAAAAGCATGCTCATGGTGAGAGTGACATAAAAATTGCATTTAGTTTAAAAACTAATCTGCAGCTTCTGGGGACATTATTAACACATGTTTTCTTGGCAACAGTATGGAGGTGGTTTGCCATTGCCTCTTCCAGCTTCAGTTATGCTGTGTGAAAAAGAAATAATGTCTAGAATCTGAGAAAAAATTGGAAACAGATCGGCCGAAACTGGATATAAATATTCACTTTCTTTTAGCTGCGATGGGAAAACTCCTTTTCAGCCTTATGTTTCCCTTCTCTTGTGTGTTTTTATTCCTGAAAGGCAGAATAAAAATAAAGGATAACTACTCTCCAAGTTGGAAAAATTGCTCAGTGTTGTGAATCCCTGTTGGTTAAGAATATAATTAGAATGAAGCTCAGGGGTTATCAAATCCAATCCTTAGTTCCATGGTTTGTTTCACTGGTAGCAACAGTTTGCATATATTATTGTGCTGCTTTCAAAGTATAACCAGGCATTTTGTATATCATTGGTTGAGTAGTTTCCCCAGATAAGTTTGGGTCTGGGAGTGGGAGATGGTTACAAACAGCTGTTTGCCTGCTGTCACACACTTCCAGGAAGAGTCTACATTAATTCCCTTTAGGTGAACGGCAAGGCTAATACTGCTCTTGCCTGAGCTTGTAAACTGAGTGAACTTTTTAAGAACCAAAACTCTGTTTCATAATAGTGCCATCCCAAGCAATGCATTTGGGTTTGAAATAGTATTTATTGCCAGCAAATCCATCTAATGTGAAAACATTTCCAAAGGCAAAATCAAGCCTGTGGGAGCTGCCCAGGAGTCAGCACAACATCATTGTTCTGTAGTGGAATTGGACAAACTCCCCATTCCCAGGAGAAATTTTAACTTCCGAGCATCTCAGAAAGTAATTTATATATCCAATTTCTTTTTTTTCTAATGTTATTTTTATTGTTATAAAATGAAATATAAAGGAATTCTGGATGCACAAAATTTCCTTTGTATTTCAATATCCAGTTTTCACATTCAATATGGACAAAGAATTGTAGTCTACTAGACATGGTACGCACATTTGAATCATAGCAGGAATAGTAGAATGAAGATGTTGAATTTTGAGAACACCATGATTTTAAGTCTGTGTCACTCCTTTTCAGAGATCCGATGTTCCATCCCTTTGCAGGTATACCAGACTTGCAGAGTCACACATAAGAACAGAAAAAGCAGGGAATTTCCCCAAAGGTGCTTTTTCAAGCGGCAACTGGACTGTCTTTGTTTTTCCTTGAAGACATTTTGCTTCTCATCCAAGAAGCTTCTTTAGTTCTGACTGAATGATGGACAATGGAAGGATTTGCAAGGAATATAAATCTCTTCTAATTCTGCCACAGTAGAATTCCTCCTTCAGAAGTGAAACTTTTAAGATTTTAATACCCACAATTTTCTAATTACTTTGCAGTACTTTCTTTTTAACTAGCCCTTGAGATGAAACTTTGGCATTCTTGGATGTATATGCTGAACTGGTGTTTGCAGGGGTCTAATGATGCCCAGCCCAGATCAAAATTCCAGACAGAAGAGGGCATGTGGCCTATTGCCCTCCCACACTTTTGACACCCGTGTTTCCAATTAGTATTTTCATGGCAAAAAAAAAAAAGAAAATCACCTGAGGAGGAAGCATGGTTGACAGCAGTCTTGCAACAGAAGGGGGAAACCAGAAACAGTTACAAAAGTGAAGCCAGAGGGAGAAATCCAGTTTGGGGGTGGTGGAGGAACAGGGGTGGGTGAGAGAAAAAAGACAAATGATCAGGATTGGGTGATAGAAGAAGTAAAAAAAAATACCAACCTGCTGGCATTCAAAAATATCTCCAGGTTTTGGAGGAAAATTGACTTTTTGAACTCAAAATCCAAGCGAAAAGCAACCTGTAGAGATCAGAACAGATTTAGGACATTAAAATGTATTTCTGCCAGTATTCCCTTATACTATCCATTATACTACTGCTTTATAATACCTTCATAAGGCCACACTTGGAATTCTGCATCAATTTTGATCACCACAATATAAAAAAGATGTTGAGACTCTAAAAAGAGTGCAGAGAAGAGCAACAAAGATGATTAGGGGACTGGAGGCTAAAACATATGAAGAACGATTGCAGGAACTGGGTATGTCTACTCTAGTGAAAAGAAGGACAGGGTGATATGATAGTGGTGTTCCATTATTGGAGGGGCTGCCATAAAGAAGAGGGGGACAACCTATTTTCGAAAGCACCAGAAGGCAAAACAAGAAGCAGTGGATGGAAATTGAATAAAGCAACCTAGAACTAAGGAGAAATTTCCTGACAATAAGAACAATCAACCAGTAGAACAACTTGCCTTCAGAAGTTGTGGGTGCTCCATCACTGGAGGCTTTTGAGAAGGGACTGGGCAGCCATTTGTCTAAAATAGTATAGGGTCTTCTGCTTGAGCAGGGGGTTGGACTAGTGGACCTCCAAGGTCCCTTCCAATTCTTATTCTGTTACTCTGTTATTATTCTCTGGTGAGCCATCTAATGTCCCAGGCTGGTAGGCCATGTGATTGTTTTTACTCTGTTTCTTAGTAGACTTACTTTGCGGTAAGTCTAACATTTGGGGGAAGGGAAGAAGAGTATAACGTAATTGCAAAAAGGGTTAATATAAGGATTCCTAGCCTGTTATTGGGATGAATAATGCAAAGTTCTACCAATTTGATATAGCAACTAAAGGTCTCCAAAAGTGCATGACGACCTCCAAGGCTGATCTTTCTTTCAGAAGGAACTTCAAGGAACCTATGGGTGAGCAGGAATGTCTGCAGGGATTGGTTAGTTGCATTTTCTGAACTTTTCTTTGATTCGTTAACAAATGCACTCATTTAGAATCTGTGGTTGTTTTTTTTATCATAAACCTGTTTCTCATGTTTTGCAATTCAGTCAAGATTGGCTTGTTGCAATTCACAGTGTGTGTGTCAAAAAGTCAGGATGGTGACAATGAATGTGTGAGCTAAGCCCCGCCCCTTTTTAATGGCACCATACAGCTGACGATGGGGGGATTTTGCTGGCCTTGGCATAGTTTACAGTTCCCCACCCTTGCCAAAGCAAAGACATTCTGCCCTCCCAAGCTGCTCCACTTCAGTTCCAGTTTCTTTTTTTTTTTGCAAATTGGAATTAAAAAGAAACAAAAACCCATCACAATGGGGCTAGTTGGAGAGGAGTTCTCTTCAGATTCCATCTCCCAGATATCTGTGGGGCTTGTTTTGGAGCCAACCCAATGGACCCAGCCCTTCCCTCCATTTACTCATGCCCTCCAGCAGGGCTGAGAGGGGGTTAGGTGGACGTGTATAAAACCAAAATAGATGGTACATCTATTTTCATTAGGATCTAGTCCCAACTTCAAGAGAAGCAAGGATCAATTAACCCACAGCCAGCAGTTCTCACGAAATAGCAGATGAGATGTTGTGTGTTAATATAACCCTAAGCAAACATGACTCTGTTTAGGGTTATATACCTGTGCTGCTGGGGTAATAGTGGATAACTAGTTTACTAGTTAATTAATCATTCAAAAAATTCCAATTAAAAAAAACTGCTTGATTAGGGGGGAAACCTTTAGCTTTGTCTTCTAGCTTTTAACTGGCTGCCCAAAGACCTTTTAAGATGCCAGACCATCTTAATGCAGCTGAAACCTCTTGGCCAACCTATTATTTTCTTATTTGGCAACATAGACTTGGAAAAGCTAATATTATTCATGGTTCTGGAATTCTTAACAAACTCTTCTGGCTTGGAAAGCAACTGCAATTACGTGGTGTTGAATTTGTGTTCAGCAGCATTACTCAGTCAATGTCTGGAGAGAGTCAGCCTTTAATTTCAGGCTCTAGAGTTATCTTTGGTCACGCAGATACATATCATGTAGTTTTTCCTAGCATACGAACTCTTGGCCAAGCTTCCATGTAATATAATGGATATTTATAAAGGCATCTATCTCAATGAGTTTTAGTCATTGAGTTTTTTGGTCCTGGCTTACGAGCAGAGATCTAACAGGATGCCACGAACCTATGTTGATCTGACACATCCTTTTTCTGAGCAGGACAAATGGAAAGAAGACAAGTTTTTCAGTAAAGCAACAAGGGTTTCTCAGCTACTCAACAAATTATCCAGTCTTGTATTTGTAAGTGAAAATGTGAAAAATAATACTCGGGAGAAAAGGGAATGTATTTTTACGTGGAGACACGTAAGAGGTAGATTCTAGTATGAGCCCACTTGAATCAGTATTTGCCTGCTGATAATTTTTACTGACAATTCTTGGGATTCTCATAAAACTTTATGTTATTCCTGTCAACCTATTCTCATCCAGGGTCCACTACAGAAAGAATATCATGGCAAGATGGAAACCAACTTTAATTCTCCTATCAGCTGTAAAAGATGCAGCTGCAAATGGCTATTTTGCCCTCCTGCTAGAGAAAATGCTGTTTCCACTGATAGCTGTCCAATGAGCTGAAAGACAGCACATATATCATCCATCAGCAAGAGGACCAAAACCATCAACTGCTGTTCCTTGCAAGGAAAAAAATCAGCTTGGCCTAAGATGGATATAAATCCCACTTTTTCTGACTATGAAATACTGGCCTCTTTTGTCTCTCTCTTTCTTTGCCTTATCTCTAGAATGTGTGCCAAATTTTAATTGATGTGAGCTGTCCTGGGAAGCAGCAACAGTGTAAAAAGCAGGAGTCTTTAAAAATGCAGAAAAGGAATGACTTATTCAACCAATCCCTCGGCAGATGGGCATGTTTCATTTAGGACTCTCTAGTTACCTTTGCTTTGGCCCGGAAGAAGGGGTAGCTGACATTGCAAACTCTGCTGTTTGAATGTTTCTCCTCAAACAGGCATTCTATATTAATGTCTGGGTCATCCTGAAATGAAAGAGAAAGGATGCAAATTGCAAGTTATAGCTCATTCTGTAAATTTACACACAACTACAATAATAGAACAGTAGAGTCTATATACTTACTCAAGGCACAAATGACCAGATTCAAAATAGCATAATAGCACATTGTGGGATGACCAAGCTCTCTTGAGAATAATATAATGTTGGGAAAGGGAAAAGGGGATTGATCAGCAGCGAGATGGATGAATTACAGCAATGATGGATACACCATTGGAAGACCAAAGGATCCAATTATGCCATAGAAGAGCGTGCACAGCACATCCACTGACTTCAGAACTTCAGGTGGCCCCTGAGACCCTTGGGTGCTGCCTATGCAACCCATCCAAAAATCACTGCCAACCTGAAAGATTAATGTGGCAGAAATGGGAAATTATCCATAACATGAGGAGCAGTCACAGTAAGCAAAGTCTCGTTTAAACCTTGATTCCCACTGCCATCTTTGGCACCCGTGATTCTTGATGGCAATACAGAAAGGGTTTGCTATAGATTTCTTCTAGAATGTTCTCTCAGCATTCCAATCTCAGCTGCATTCTCAGAACTTTCTAGTAGTCCAGCACAACTTTCCTAAGATGGACAAGGACCCCTACTGACCTCACAGACACATCTATGTGGTTTCCATGGTGTCAACATGGAACTGGTTTGTTTTCTTCCAGAATGTTTTTCAGTTTTTTCAATTTAGTTTAGAGCCTTAATATTTCCCAGAAATGTCCTGCCCAGGTTTCACCCTGATTTTTGAGATTGACTAAATTTTCTCTTGCAGGGACTCTTTTTTTAAAATTTACTCTGTAGTCATCTTGATTCGGGAATGAAAAAGTCCATCTGATCTAGAACTTGATCCTTCTCTGGAATGTTGTAGCCCTCTAATTCCCCACAACTCCCAAAATGTTATACTGCAGAATTATAGGAGATTCCTTTTTTAAAAAAATACGAAACATACCTACTCTTATCACTAGACAAAGAAGTCCTTTAATTCTTGCTTTGATAGTTCTTCTCCTAATATTTTTCTTTCAGGGTAATCCATCAGAAGACAGAGAAGTTTTTACACTATTTTGTGGGTAGTTGTTCCTGCAATTTTCCACTGGCAAGCTTTAAAAACCAACAAAAGGAATTCTTCATGCTGCATAGATTAGTAAGGCCTCGACAGCAAGGTCAGCATCTTTACTACTAAAGACGGATGGAAGGTCGAGGCTGTCCAAAACATACAACGAAGTGCTCACATATGCTGACAGCACATTTATACATTTCTGAGAGGAGGAGGAGGAGGAGGGGGAGGTTTCGGGGGCCCAGCCAGGATATAAATGCCAGGATCACGAAGCGGCTGCATGAGAGATGATCTCTTCTAAATAGCTGCATGTGGTAATGTCATCAGAACATGTTTTCCATAGCCGGGCAGAGCGCCCATTACACACACTCACTGGTGGGTTTTTTTGCCATGAATTCAGTGAGACCGGGAAGACATGAATCTATTGATTATCTATTATCTATTGATAATTCTTAGGTTCTTACTGGGCTTTTCTTCGTTGAGGGAGATCCCACTAAGAGTCTTTGCTAATGGAATTCCCAGGCATAATATACTGATTCACACAGCTGGATCTGCATTAGGGCAATGGCGCCCTAAGCAAAATCTTAAAAGGAATTCCAGTGAAACCTGAAGATGCAGGTGGGATGTGCATTTGGTTGTGATGGAGGCCAACTGGTGAAGTCTCATGTAGCCTCTTATGAGAGATTCACAGGTTTGCCTCATTCCACTGCAGCTACGTTTGGGGCAACAGACATTTTAGCATTCCAACATGAGGATATTTCAGAAGAGAGACTGCCAAGAGGATTGGACTGCATTTACTGGCTACTGGTTAACTGGCCTGCCATTTAGCTCCCCTGGAAGAGAAGCAGATTTTGCAATAGGAAAACTGCCTCCCTTATAGCTCAGACTTGCAGGATTCAGGATGACAAAGTTGCTGATGTGGATGCTACCATATGAAAATGATAAATCAGAGACATTTTTAAATAAAGCCTTTTCAGGCATTGGCTTACTTTGAAGCTTCCTATCATTAAAGCTTCATTTTTTCCTCCCAAGTGCTTAACAGATGCTTGGCAAACCCATCTAGCTTTAACGAGAGCAATTCTTAGTGTATTGGCTATACAGTTAAACCCATCAGAGTCTCTGCTTTTTTTCTCTGGGGTAAAATGACCTCTTGCTGACACTTTGCCATTAACTCAAATATACTGCAGAGAGAGAAAGGAGGAGCATGAGGAAAAAGCTGAAGGCCAGAAGTAAATTCTGTAGAAGATGAGATTGTTATTCACTGGAGGATTTTGGAGCTGAAGACCCTATTAGATCAGATATCTCTTTTTTGGGGGTAGTCAACTGCTAGCTACTGTATGTATTTTTCTCAAGTCACCTGATGGATGGATGGATGGATGGAAGGAAGGAAGGAAGGAAGGAAGGAAGGAAGGAAGGAAGGAAGGAAGGAAGGAAGGAAGGAAGGGAAGAACAATCACAAATGGGTATAGGTTCATACTTAATAGTTCACACATCATATAAAATCAAGATCTGCTTGTCTATGATTTACCAAATAAGACACAATTGGCCAGGTTTGTATGACTATAACCAGAATTACTATATAAAAATCATAAAAACATTGTATTAAGTTGTCTCTGTGTCATTTGTCACAACAAATTGTGGGTAAATCACTGTTCTTTTCCAGTTTAATGCTGCAGAGAAGACTACTGAAATTCTAACTTGCCCAAAAGCCCATCAACAAAATCTGAATTTAAATCTAAATTCTCTCAAGCAATGTCATCTCTCTTTCCTGTGGAATTTCTGCTGTTCATATCTCATGTGAGTTAGAGAACAAAAGGAACAATTTTTGAGAGTCTCAGAGCCTTCAAATGTAAAGAGAGATGGGAAATAGAAGCTGCTGTGGTTTTTATTTGTCCCATTTTGTTCAGTTAATGTATTTGAAAGCACAACTCTCTCTGGCACAAAAATGCCGGAAATACTTCTGCAGGGTGTTTGCCTTCTAAAAATCAAAACAATAAAAGGACAAATGTGGAGAAAAGCAAGATTTTACTTGTAGGCAGGAAAAAACAAAGGTATGAATACAGATTAGGTGAAACATGGCTCAAAAACAGAAACACTGAGAGGGACCTTGGAGTCCTTGTGGATGGTCACTTAAATATGAGCTAGGACTCTACGGCAGCAGCCAAAAAAGCTAATACAGAGTTATCCTATGGCAGCCAATAAATGTTATCAATAAATAAATGTTATAAACAAACAAGCAAATAAATAAATCATTAAATAAATAAATAAATAAATAAATAAAGGCATTTGAAATTGCGCTGGGCAATTTCATGGCAAGCAGCACACAACAAATTTTGGGTGGCCAGGAGCTGCGATGGATGGATAGATGCAGCGAAGTGAGATAGATGGCTTCTGTATATAAATCTGATAAATAAACGAATAAAATAAAAAAGTGGCTAAACCAGTATGGGTGTCGGGGACAGGAGAGATGCTTGAATGCTTATTCTTAGATCCGCAGACCACCTCATCCAATTCAAACTTGGGGAGAATTTGAAAAAAACATTACATCTATTTTAAAGTACACCATATAGTTTTTGAACATTTTCCAACTCAAAAGAATAAAGAATTCTGCTCCTAATTTTCAACTAACAAGTCAGTGGTGGCTTCAGGGGCCGCCAGAAAGACATTTTTTATCCCAAGAAGTATCAGCCTTCTCTCCTGCAAGAACGTATTTAGGGAATGCCTTACCTTCTTAATCAAGCTTGCGAATTGCAGGTTTCTTGAGAAGGAAATGTTTAGAATGGTGTTATATGCATTTTCTCCTCTGTTCTCCAGCAGGGCTTCTACTGCTACCCTCCTCCTGGCACTCTCTATGACAAAAATGGAGGTATCAAAAGACAGCGTGTAGGCGGAGCAATCCGAGTGAGATTTTCTCAGGACCCGTCTGCAATATTCCCTATGAAAAGAGCAAATGTTATGGCAGCAGCCAGAGAGCAGGGTCGGCAAGAGCATTAAGGACATTCGTATGAGTTCACATAGACTGCAATCAAAAGATGGGGGGGGGCAGGCTAGGCCTATTATCAGCTGATGGTACAATGGTGCTGGCAGCAGTGGGAGTGAAGATATGACCTCCACAGAGAACGATCCTGCCCTTTCAGGACAAAGGAAAAGAAAGAGATTCACCAGTTCAGGGTGACTTCCCTTCCACAAAGTTCTCAAAAGTGAACCACGCAATCTTATTTCCTAGATCCCTCCTACTTGCTGGCCTTACTTTAGGCTCACTCCAGAAGATCTACTCACATTGCAGTGGGGACATCTGTTTTAGCATCGAGAACCAAATTAGGGATGCAGTGCTCGTCTTCGTTGCATCCGTTCCAGAATGGTACCTATTGGATAGAGGAGAAGGGTTGGATTCTTTAAGTTAGGCATCCTCTACCTCTACCTCTATCTGTTGCCGAAACTGATTTCTGAGGCCAGGAAACCATTTAGTTGCTTCAGATGTCTGCTCTTGGGCTGGAATTGAAGAGCCAGAAAATTCTAGAACAACGTGCACCCTCCTTCAAGAATTCATAAATCCTTGCAAAATTGTACAATGGTACAGGCATGTCATGTTATAAAGTGGACTGGATTTAAAGACTGGGCTATTTGCTTTCTGCAGATTTGGTTGTTTGTATTAAAATTATATAGTTTTGTTCCATGACGTGTAGAAACATGTGAAACAAGGGGACTCTAGCCTCATTTAGTGCATATTGTTCTGTTATTTATTAATTTCATACAGATTTTAAACTACAGTGTGACTATTCCACCAAAAAGACTCTTTGGACTCTCCTCTCTGTTCTTTCTGACTCTGTAGCTCCTGGCTCTCTTCCCTTCCCGACTCTTTCGTCTCAGACTACTGTTCTTTATTCTGTGCTGAAAGAGGCTTTGGGCCTGGGTGATGGGGGAAGGGAGCCAAAGCAATAAATAAGCTGAACATTTCTTGCAATGGTTCCTAAATTTAATCCTCTGTAACCCTCACTCCAGAATCAGAAGATGTTACGCACAGCAACTTTCAGTGAAGTTGGCCACCCATCATCCATCACTGGTCCAGTCTCAGGACTATTTAGGGCATAATCGACAGAGAAAGTCACCGGCTTCACATAATCAGCTGTATCCTGAAAGAGTAAAAAAAAAAACAGGTAATCATAATTATCCTTCAGCTGAGTGTATTCAACATAATTAATCTGGTTAGAGAACTAACTTTTGGGTTTTCATAGTGCATTGCACATAAACTGTCCATATGAGCAGGATTTGTCTTATTTTGTTTCTTTATTCATTTGTTTTATACAATTAAAATTACAAAGCTCTGGATGGTTTGTTACTTTTGTCTTTATGCTAATTATACAAACGCTCAAGCTTTCCTATGACAAGTTTAAAATATGACTTTACAGTAAAATAATAACAAAAATGCATTTATAATCAAACTCAAAAATGAAAGTCGGAAACTAATAGAAACATCATTAAATACTTAAAAACTCCAATTGTAAACAGATAATTGGTCTCAGACCACAATACTCTGGACAACCGGAACAATTGGGCAGAATTGGTTCTTTCCGCAGGCTGCCATGTGGGCCTGGAGGTACAGTGGCCAGTGCATATCTTAATCAGCTAATAGCCATGCTGGTGCTGTGGTTAGAATGCAGCATTACCGGCTCATTCTGCTGACTGCCAACTGACAGCAGTTCAGCAGTTCAATCCTCACCAGTTTAAGGTTGATTCAGCCTTCCATCCTTTTGAGGTCAGTAAAACGAGGACCCAGATGGCTGTGGGCAAGATGTGAACCGCTTAGA